TATTAACATTTAATTAACTCATTCTTGTTCTTTATTTTTTATTAACGAAACAATAAGAAAGAGAAAATGTTATTAATTCAAATGACATTTTGAAGACATTAAACAATGAGTAAAAAATCTTTTTTTACATTAATAAGAAACTAAGTAATTGACTTTTATTTAAGAAAAAAGAAAATAATAAAGTTAGTTAAAAACTAAAAGATATTTTTCAACATCAACAATATCAAATTAACTTAAAAACTAATCAATTAACCTCAACAAGTATGTTAATTTAAGCACTTGAAGAAGAAGAAGCAGTAGCAACACATGAATTATCTCCAGTTGAAGCCATAATCAATGCAACGATAAATCCATACAAAGCAAGAGCTTCTGAGAAAATTTGACAAATAAGCATACCAACAAAAAGTTTTGGTTGTTGTGCAGCTCCTCTTACACCACAATCACCAGAAATACCAATTGCCATACCTGAAGCCAAACCACACAAACCACAAGTTAATCCAGATCCAAGATCCAAAAAGGCACGATTAAGAGAATATTCAGATTTAGTTACATTAATAAAAAGCAGAATACAAACAATAAGTCCATACAAACCGATAATACCAGCAAAAATAACTGGAATAACTGATTTCATAATAAATTCGGGCTTCATAACACCTACTGAACTAATACCAACTGAACTTTTGGCAGTTCCATATGCACCACCAAATACAGTGAAAACAATTGAAGCAGTAATTCCCATTGATCCGAAAAATGGGGAATAAACTGGACATAACTCAGTGACTGAACGAAGAAGGATAGACATCAACATGGTTGTTTTGTTTTTTGATGATTTTTAAGATGACTTAAAAGTTCTTATGTGACTAAAAAATAAAAAACTTCAAATAATGAAATAATTACATATTTATAATCTAATTTAAAGGGATTTTTGTATAAAAATGAGTAAGTCAAAAGAATTAGTTCTATACAGAAAAAACAATGTAAGTCAATGATAAACAAAAATAAAACATGTAATTACCCTAATTGTTTTTCTTATTCTTTTTTGTTGTATTTATGTTATTATGTTATATTCGTTATTTATAACAAATTAAAAAAAAATAAGAATAACAAAATTATTTTAAGAATGATTCAATTTTAAGAAGAACTTTATTTATTGAAAGAATAAATAAACTCTTAATTACTTTTTCTTATGAAAGATTGAGAAAGAAAGAAAGAAAAAAAAAGGATAATCAAAGTACCACGTAGATTGTTCTTACAGAGAATAGTGCTTTCTTATTTCTTCGTTAAGGATTAAACTAGGAAAAAAAATATATAATTTATAAATGACTTTAAAAGAAACTATAAATGAAAAACAAATAAAACAAAGCGATAATAGAAAATTCTAATAAGAAAAGAAGCGGATAAATTGTTCTATCGAAGAGTAAAAGAATTTGAAGAATTACAAAGGAAAAAATTCTGAGGTGATGGAACCTTTTTTAGTTCGAGTCTTTTAAAGAGATTTTAGTAAAAAAAAAGAAAATCAGATCATGTTGGCACTCTTCGCCATCCTCTTTGTTGCGTATGGACAGTACACATGTTCTACTGCTACAAAATTTAATTTGCCACAGTACCATACATCAATTGTATTTGGTACAAATACACCTAAATCTAAAGTTGCACTTGAACCAGGTTCATTAAAAGAAGTTCAAGGACAGTATTTTGTTACATCAGTTGGAGAAGATATAGAATCTCTTCTTGTTAATATTAATACATGTTTTGCTACAACTAATTTACCAACAGAAATTTATATATTTGATTCATGTAGTGATGAAGGAGTTGCCCAAAATAAACTTGCAGAATCAGGTATTGATAATTCATGTAGTGCTTCTAGTGAATATCCAATTGTTAATTTCCATGCAGTACAAGGAAAAACTTATTATGTATTAGTTAAGTTAGTTGAAGAAAATGCTGATGGTACAGTTTCTATTGCAATTGATCAATCATATGAAGATAATTCACATATTGAATGTGATGTTGCCCGTTCAGTACCAGAAGAAAATGGAGCAACTATTTTCCCATATTCAGACCAAGCACAAATTGTAAGAAGTCAAGTACCAGAAACTAAAGTAGAATGTACAACATCAGCACCAACATTATGGTATAAATTTAAGGGAGATGGAAAATATGTAGTTATTAATACATGTAATTATTATACTAATTTTGATACAAGACTTGTTGTAGTTGATACTCTTGTTAATGGTAAATGTAATGGTGCTAAATGTGTTAAATTTGCTGATGATGGATGTGGAAAAACATCATATTCATCTATTCTTGTTATTAAAACAGAATTAGAAAAGATTTATTATGTTGGTGTTTCAGCTGCTGCAAATCAAGAAGGACAATTTGAAATTAGAATGGATCATTTAGCTGACTCTATTCCATCTGTTTGTTCACGTGCACTTCCAATTCAAGAATTACCATTTTCAAGATCATTTGATATTCCAGATGTATGGCCAACAGGAAAGCCATCATGTATTTCCTATCATACTGATGTAAGACCAGTTTATTTGTCATTTGTAGGATATGGAAAACCTGTTGTAATTTCTACATGTAAATCAGTTGATTCTAATTTGAAGCCAATTGGAGTAGCAGTAGAGTTAATAAATAATTGTGAAGAAGAAAAATGTGCAGTTGACACTACTAATTCTAAAGAATTTGGTTTATGTGGTGAAAATAATTATCTTATTGTTAATATGGAAGTAGGAAAAACTTATTATATTAAGGCATATTGTCCAGATGGTCCATGTGATATGACTCTTAATATGTATGAAAAAACTGCATCACATGATAGATGTGATATTGCACTTGAGCTTAATAACCCAGGAGTATTTAGTGAAGCAGCAGTAATTGAAAATCTTGAAGAATCAATTCATGGATGTAATTCAGTTGCTAAAACAGATCCAGGATTATGGTATAAATTTGTTCATACTAAATCTATTGTTGATGAAAAATATACTATTTTTGCTATGAATGCACAAAGAAGTAAAATTGGATATATTGAATTTTCTAATGGATGTATGCTTATTGAATGTGAATCTCTTCAACAAGGAGAAGCTCATTTAAGTTTCAGTTCTGATGAAGAATATCAACTTATTTTTGTTTATCCTGATGCTACTGATCATCAAAAAGCTTTAATTGTTCAATTTGTTAGTGAAGAATCTACACCATTCTATAAATGCCAAGATGCACTTGATGTTCAACTTCCATATACTGCTCTTCATACATTCTCTAATACAAAAACAAGACAAATTTGTTCAGGAGAAATGGCACCAGCTAACTATTATAGATTCAGCCTTAATAAAGATATTGGTGTTGATGTTTCTACTTGTTTCCCAAAAACATTAGTTAATACAGCAGTTGAAATTACTAAAGGATGTTATGGAGAACCAACTGCTAAATGTATTGGTTCAAATACTGAAGGAAGAGGTTGTGCTGTTGGAGCTGCTAAATTATCTGTTGATTTGAATGCAAACACTCAATATACACTTTCTGTATATTCTGAAGCTGTTGCTGCTCTTAATGTTAAGCAATATAGAGTTGTTATTTTCTCACTTGAAATTCCAACAGAGTCAGTATGTACTTCAGCTATTGTTGTACCATATCAAAAGTATTATGCTGATTATTTGATTCTTAATAGATTATCCTACAAAACTGATTTTGGAAGTGTTGGAATTACTAGAGGTAGTTATTTCAAAGTTCAAATTCCAGATGTAGCTTATACTGTTACAGTTAGAACATGCTCTTCAAAGACTACTATGAACTCATTTGTTGCACTTTATGGTAAGTGTATTGTCCAAGGATCATCAGATCAACCAATTTCTGTTCCAAATGAAGATATTGGAATTGCATCATCATCTATTACTAATTGTGATGTCCATGGTACTTATCTCACATTTGATACTGTTCCAAATAAAGAGTATTATGTTTTTGTTGGTCCAGAAAATTTTGCTGAAGAAGGTTTTGTCGATGTTCAATTCTTTATGGATGCTAAAGAAGACCCACAACCAGATGATTCTTCTTCAGTACCACCAACACCATCTTCTTCAACTGATGATAAAGATGATGATAATCATCATTCTACTCCAGTTGGATGGATTGTATTTGGTGTTCTTGTCTATGTTTTGTTTGCTGGTATTCTTGCTGGATGTGTTATTGCTATCATTTTGAAACGTAGAAATTCTGGATATGCTACTTTAGCTTAAAACTAATTTTAATACTTTCCAAATAATATTTTTTTATTTTTTGTGATGAATTATAGTTAAATGAAATAAATTTAATAAGAGTTGTTTTCTAATAAAAGTAATTAAAAACTATTTGGTTTTTTCTCTTTTGTAT